TGGCGCCTTCTTCCTGGCCTCCTACTCTTCATTACCTTCCCTCTGGCTTCGGAACTTCTATTGATTGGCCTGCTTCCCTCTAAGTGTCCATCCTATTAGCATCCTCAGGGCTCTGAGCATTTCTTGGCCCTCTTCCTCCTCATCTCTCTTTGTTACCCTCCTCCAGGTTCTGAATCTCAAAGGACACCTTCCCAAGAAGTCTCCCCAAATCTCCTGACACCTGTTTCTCGAAGATCTCACACTCACTTTAGGTCCTTTCCTCAGAGCTCCTATCCTGTCTCAATGGTCTGAATCTCTCCTGGGGCCCAGGTTCTTCTGTCCTCAGAGTTCTAACTGTCTTGGACTCCTCATTCAGCGATCAATACTTCTCTTGGAACTCTCCTCTCAGACTCTGAAGCTCTCTTGGGGCTCCAAACTTTTCTTGATATCCTTCTGTTAGAGCTCAGAAACTTTCTAGGATCAATTTAGTGAGGGCTCTGACTTTCTCTTTGCCCCTTTCTTTCAGAGTTCTGATCCCCTTGAGGCCCTCCTTCCAATCAGCGCTGCAGCTCCTGTTTTGTGGCCCTACTTCTGAACTCCACCTTTAGGCACCCTACCCTCTGTGCTCTGGATTTCTTTTGGCACTTCTCATTCATGCCTCCCTCACTCTGACCTTTTCATGGTGCTGACCTTTGGTACCATTTCCTCGGAGCACCCACCTCCCTTATCATTTGTTTCTTGGGGCTCCAACCATTTCTTGGTGTATCTCTGTCAACCTCTTTGGGTGCCCTTTTAGAGGACCCTGAACCTTTCTCAGGGTTCCAAGCCTTTCTCAGGCCTTTCTTCAGTTTTCAAATTTTCTGGGACCTTTACCTCCAAGGCCCCAACTTTCTCTGGGTACCTCTCCCTCAGAGCTTCCAACATTTTTTTTACCTTTCTCAAGGCTCTAAACTACTCTTGGTGTCCCTCCTTTTTTGCTATGATTGGCTTGTTGACCTTCACTGAAGATTCTGACCCCTACAAATCTCATTTTCAATTAACTTTTTTTTGTAATATAATTTTTTATTGAAAAAAAATTTCTACCTCCTCCCTGCCTCCCATTTCCCTCCCCGTCTCCCTTTTCCCTCCCCGTCTCCCTTTTCCCTCCCCCTCCTCCCACTCCTCTCTCCCTCTCTCTCTCTCTCTCTCTCTCTCTCTCTCTCTCTCTCTCTCTCTCTCTCTCTCTCCTTCCATTTTTGTTTTTATCATCTCTCAGTCCCACCTTCTGGACTATCCTGTCTTTGCCCCTCTCCCTATGGCTGTGAAGCTCCCTTGACAATCCTATCTCAAGGCTCTGGTCCTCTCTTTCAGTTACTTCCTCAGGAATATGACTCTCTTAGAGCCACACCTTCAGGACTCCCTCTTTCTTGGCATAGCAACTGCTCCCTCATGGTGCCACACATCTCTAGGCACCCCTCTCTCAAGGCTTTGACACACTCTCGGGGTTTCAACAGTCTTTGGTGTCCTTCTTTAAGGCTGAATTCTCTAGATACACTTCCCTCAGGGTCCTGGTCCTCTCTTCTATCGCCTCAGAACTCTGTTACTTGGTACCCTCTATCAAGCCTCGGACCCTCTTCCCCTCTCTCTTTATCCCTCAGGACTCAAAGCATGTCTTGGTGCACTTACTTAAAAGCCACAACTCTCTCTCAACCTCTCTTTATGCCTTTCCTCAGGACTCTGAAACCTCTTTGGAGCCCTTCTTTCAGGGCTCCAACTCTTTTTGGTTCCTCTGCTAGTACCTAAATCCTTTCCTTGAGCCCTTTTCTCGGGGATCCAAGTTTGTGTTGGCACCTCTTCTTCACGACTGCCCAATCTCTCTTGGCAAACCCTTTATCTAGGCTCTAACCCACTCCTGATGTCCCTACTTCGGGGTACCTGGCTCCCTTCCCTCAGATTTCATGTCGTTCTTTGTCAACCTTGCCTCTGGGTTCCAACCATCTCTTTCTGCACTTTCTTTAAGTTTCTCTTTTAAGCTCTCTCTTGGCGCTCCTACCTCGGGGCTATAACGTAGTTTTGGAGACCTGCCTTTGTGTCCCAATTTCTTTGTTGGCACCTTTCCTTCATATTTCCAACTTTCTTGAATCCTTTGCCTCACAGTTCTGAGTTCCTCTTCTAATCCCTTAGCTCTCCAACGGTCCTTTGATTCACTTCCGTAGCCCTCTGACCCTGAATTGGTGCCCTTCCCTCACGGTTCCGAGTCTCTCTTTGTGTTCTTCCCTCAAGGTTCCAATCTTTTGAGGGGAAGGATGCCCAGAGAGGCTCTGAGAACT